TTTTAATCAAATTGATCATTTCAATTAATCAATAAAAAGTTTGTGGTATTTTCATTAAGAAAACCAAACGACAATAAATTCATCAAATTGATTAAAAAGTAAGTTTGAAAAGTAAAATTAAACCTAAGAAGAAAAGGTTTAAGGTAAAAATGCAGCTTTGATATAAATAATTTACCAAACAATGATTTAAGACTCTAATTAAAAGTTATAGGTGAAAAATAAATGTATTTTATCGTTTATAAATCAGTTTATATGGAGAGGGCGCCCTCTGGTGGTTAGTTGTTGGTTACTGCACTTAAATAATAAATGAATCAGACTGCTGTTTCTTTGAGTAAATTAAACACAGAAGGCTGGATGAAGAGCTTTTACTTTTAAATTAAATAAATGAAGTCATTCATATAACTTGAGAAGATGAACATTTAATCTCTGAGCTCTGTGAACAGTAATGTTTAGAAAATCATTTTACCTCTGAGCTGCAGCACAGAGCGAGGAAACACCTGCACACACCTGTACAAACAAACACAAGAAGAAAATACAGAATTTTGCTATACAGAAGTAACTGCACTATTCATATTTTTCCACACATTTATGTGGTGGAAAAAAAGGTTAAAAAGAGGATACATTTCTGTTATAGTGACTGTTGGATGTAATTACAATCCATCGCCAGCAGAGGGCAGCAGTGCAATATGAACGCATGATGCAGCGGTTAATTAGACCTGACGAGGCTGTTAACCTCCAGGTGAGTTATATTGTAATATTTACAGTCCGTGGTTGTAAAGTGTAGAAGTTACATTACGCCAAAAGAGTTAAAAACCTTCAACATCATGTAGATCATTTGAAGCACAACAAAGCATTTAATTATTATGAAATATATACTTTAAAACACGCAGTGCTACTAAGCTGTGGAACGGAAGTGGGGAAATATTGGATGTTAAATGAAACAGCAGAGTTTGGCTGCCATCTAGTGGACATGATTAGTAACTACAGTCAAACTATAGAGTTTATGAGTTTGTTTATGATTATTTCCTGATGTTTGTTGCTGTTTTTGTTGTTGTAGGCCATGTCCCTGCCTGTTGTTGTCATCTCTAACGTCTGTCAGCTGCCCAGCGGCTGGGCCTCCATCCTCTGGTACAACATGCTGACCTCCGAGCCCAGGGTACACAACCAGGACTCTCATTGATGATTACAGATGTTTACTTATCACAAATATCAAAGATACAATTAGGTGATATCTTAATGATTTAAACAAGTTTCACAGCTGCCACCTTAAATTCATAAACAGACCATTAATACAATCTAAATGTTGACGCGTGTATAGCTGTTTTACGGTTTGCATTTTCAGTATATTTTGATGCCTGTGCTTTTTATATGAAGTAAGGTTTTGAATAAAGGTCTTCTATTCGTAACAGAGTATCTTTAACTGTAGTTTTAAACCAGATGGTTTGACTTTTTGTGTTTCCATCTCTTCTTCTTTCCTCTCCTCTCCCTCAGAATCTGAAGTTCTTCCTCAGCCTCCGCAGGCCAAGTGGTCTCAGCTGTCCGAGTCCTCAGCTGGCAGTTCTCCTCCGTCACCAAGCGAGGCCTGAACCAGGAGCAGCTCAACATGCTGGCTGACAAACTGCTCGGTAGAAATACTTTTCTTTAACAGATAAACACCTGCAGGACTTTCAAACAGGCCTTTAACTTTTATTTATTTTTATCTTCAGGAGCCAAAGCCAAGAGGAACCCAGAGGGACAAATCCCCTGGACCAAGTTGTGCAAGGTGAGCCCCATTCAGCCTGAGATTTAAGATCGTCAACATCTGTGATACTTTTTAATACCACAAGTTAAAAATGAATAAAATCTGTATTCAAATCTGTAATTTAACCAAAAGCTGCAATAAGAGAAACATGTACAGGTTAGCAGATACTAATGGAGTCTTTTTGGTGCATCATAAAGTTAAAACTACATCTTCTCTTTGAACTAAATGTATTTGTCTGTAAGCAGAGTGCGAACGAGAAAGCGTATTCCTTCTGGTTGTGGATCGAAGGAATCCTGGATGTGATTAAAAGACACCTGCTTTCCCTTTGGAATGACGGGTGAGTGCTGCCGTCTTTCTTCAGTGTCAAGACACTTTTCTGAGATGTCAGGAGTTTTTCAGGAGTTTTCTGCAAGTGTGAAACCCCTTTAGTCTGTCTTTTAAAGGGGTCTGTCTAAGACAGACTAAGACAAATAACCTGTCCTCTGATTGTAAGCAACACTCTCTTTTCTTTTTTTTCTTCTGAAGAAAGCAAATCAATTCTTTTCTTCTTTCTGAGTGAAGACTTGGAGTGAGACCAAAACTGTCAACTGAGAAGTTTCTTCATTTCATCCAAGTCTTCTTTCTGTTCTCTCTTTCAGTGTCTTTGTTTTGTCAGTGGTTGAACTCTGATGATCATTTTATCTGCTCTTAGAGGTGTGGTAAAGACCCTCACTACTTTTAAGTTAGATACAGGTCAGTGCAGTAACCAGTCACCTTCTAGACACATTTCAGTGATTACATTCACTCTACTTGGAAGTCAAAGAATTTAGATTTTTGCACGATAATTACGAGGCAGAAAAGGCTTAAAAAGACGTGGATTCAAAACAAAAACCCTTATCTGACAGCTGTGTTTTATTCAGTTATAGTAGTTTACAGCTTTCATTGTCTGTTTTCTTTCATTTTGAGGAAACTTGTTTATTGTAGTCTTTAATTATCTACCACTAATAAGAAAATAAGAAAAATATATTGCCTAATATGTCATGGGAACACAATCTGCTTTCTTCCTCAGGAGTGAAACGCTCCAACGTACACAAGAATATGCAATCAGTGAAGTTACACTTCAGATTCTTTGAGAGACTAACATGCACGTGTGATTAACAGACAATGGATTTTAATTAACATAAGCAGTAAACAGTTGCTTTTTATAATTAAGAAAATATGTTATCTGTGATTAAGTCAAGTCACATTTATTTATAAAGAAATAAAACAAAGAAAGCAGTTTGAATTTGTATCTAGAACAAGAAAGGTGAAAAAAACAAAACTTCCAAATGCAGTAATTCACAGAGTGACCACAGGAGGGCGCAGTTTCACCTTTAAACTCCATCTTTACACATTAGTATCTCAAACTAACTAATTTATCTGCTTCTTGGACACTTTGGAGAACGACAGGGAGAGGAAGAGAGAAACTGGAGGTAAACATCATGAACACTGAATTTATCTGTGGTAAGAATTCAGTCAGTGTCCTAAAGACCGGAAAACAGGTTAGCTTCGTCCCTAACGAATGCAGTTACCGGTAGTTACCATGGTGACCCGAGTTTGACTTTCTCATGTTGCTTGGTTACCAAGAGTTCAAAGTTTAAAAAAAACATAAAAACAAGTAAATTACATTAAGAAATATTTTTATCAATAAAACATTTGATTTTTGACTTAGTCTTGTTTTGTGTCCTCTTATTTATAACTTTTTCATTTCTTCCATAGAAACTTTCTGCGACACTTCCGGTTGAAGCTTCCGGTAATCACGCCCAGGTGTGTTCAGGTGTTCTCAGGTGTGTATATCATTGTTTCGAGCAGGTAAGCGGTGCGGACCGCGGGCAGCCTGGCTGTGGATCAAAGCGGTGGAAGAAGAAGGAGCCGGGGAAGGAGAGATGAAGTCTAGATACTCAGTGAGTCTTTAAAAGTTCAGTTTTGTGTGAAAAGCCACAAAATAGAAACACGTGGGGCTGTATGCTAATGCTAACACGTGGGCTAATGCTCATGCTAAATGTTTGTTAAGAGGAAACATGTCAAAGTAAGATGATGATAACATTTATCAACATTATGAAGGTCACTTTTGAACTTGTTTTCTCCTCTTAAACTAATTGTTTAAACACCGGGTAAAAGTAAACTTTAAAAACAAAACTTATAATTTAAACTAATATCAGATTGAAGAGTTTAAATAAAACAATAACCTCAATTTAACTTTATTGACTAATATGTAAATTATTAATCCGAGGTAAAATGATTTTCTAAACATTACTGTTCACAGAGCTCAGAGATTAAATGTTCATCTTGATAAAGTAATATGAATAAACTTCTTTATTTAATTTAAGAGTAAAAGCTCTTAATCCAGCTTTCTGTGTTTGATTCAAACTCAAAGAAACAACAGTCTGATTCATTTATTTTAAACCTTTAATTTTAGTTCTTGTGACAGTTAATGTATGGTCAAGATGTTTCTTAAGACCTTATACTTAATGTTTCTATATTATATTCTACATTTAAACTTTAAATTTAAGTTTGCTTCGGTCTCATAGAAAACCCTTAAAGTGAAGTTAAACACAGATCATTTACCGTGAATGATGAAACTCAGGTTTATTCCAGTCATCACAATGTTGTATAATCACAAACATTTTGAGTTTATTTACTTGAACTAAATTAGTTTTTCTTCTCCAACAGGAACTCTGTTGACGTCTTCCAGGAGGATCCCCCGTCGGTGGCCGTCTTCCTCAGGTAGGAGACTCAAAGCTTTCTTAATGTTGTTTTATTATGTTCCAGGTTTTAGGTCTTATAGATGTTTAGACTCAGTTATTTTAATCATTTCATCCTTTTTGGAGTGGAGGAACATCAGGTGTTTAATGAAATACTACATTTTTATAATCCTTATTTCATTAAACACCTGATGTTCCTCCAAAAAGGATCAAATGATTAAAATAACTGAGTCTTAACATTTATACGACCTAAACCTGGAACATCATAAAACAACATTAAGCTTTGAGCTCCTACCCAATGTGGACGCCTGTGACGCCTTATTGTATTGTGCTGATGTAACATGTGCAAAAAACAGAAGTCATGTCTGTTAGATTTTATTGTAATAAAACTGCTGTCCTTTCTGTGCTTGTGTTACATTGTTGATTAGGCTGTTATCTGCCAGCTGTGGTTTATAGTAGTTTACAGCTTTCATTGTTCCTGAGGAAACTTTCTAATTATCTACCACCAATAAGCATTTTCCTAATGGAAATTTGTTATAACAAACTTCAAATGAAAATAAATGTAACAGCTGTGTGACAAAGAAGGAAACAACTACAACACAAACAAGACACAAATTAAGACTTTAAAATTGTGTTGAGAGAAAACTGCACATAAAGATTAAAGAAAACAGACTTTAAACTAAATCTATAGCTGAAAGAAAACTAAAACAGCTAACAAGTAAACTTTAATCTAAAGAAACTCCTTCCAGCTGCAGCACAGATCCTTCTCTTCAGAGTTCAGAGCGAGGAAACACCTGGAATATCAGACACAAGAAAGAAAGACATCAGGGTTTAAAGTTCATGTCAGGTTGCATCTATGAGTAATTTACAGCTAGGATTGTACAAAACATGAAGTAAAATGGGCCATTCTGATACATTAATAATTTTTAATCATTTAATTAAGTCAAAATAATCTCTACATCAAAGAGTGTTAGGATTAAAATTTAAAAGTTTGTAGCATCATGTCAATTTTGCCCTACGAATAAAATCAAGAATATAACTATATGTGACTCAAACGGTTAAAATAAAACAAGAGCCAAGAAAAATACTCACCAAATGTTGAAGGAAGTGAGGCAGCATGGTGTAGCAGACATGCTAACAGCTCTTCATCTTGTTTTGGTCAGGCTGCCCCTAAAAGTGTTAAAAAAAGACACATCACAATTAGTTTAAACTTCAAAATGTTTGTTTTTGGAGACAAGTGAATAAAAAAAGGACTGATTTATGAAAGTTAACATTCAGTTTGTTATAATGTCACATTGGGCCTGTTTTTTTGGAAAGTAACTACTGCTGCGTCCATTCTGCATCACATTGACTTCAGTACCTGGGGGGGAGGGGGAGAGAACATCTGTGATCAGGTTCAGCTGCACTGCATTAGTCCTTAATGTCGTTGGTTATCTGCCAGCTGTGTTTTAATTAGTTAGAGTAGTTTACGTGTTTATTGTTAGCCGATAAATCTGTCGCCCAAAAGGAGAAGTCAATCAAATCCTTTTGAGGACCAAGACCTTCAACCTCGTCATACAGAGCACTGATAATAACTTTAATTATCTGTGGTTTTTAACATTCTCTCTCTCTCTGTGTGTAGAGCTGCTGGTTGAGTGTGTGAAGAACAAAGACTTAAAGAAGGTGAGTGACAGTTTCATCTCTCACTGCAGACCTTCGCACCTCATTCCTACATACTCACATGTGTCTTTGAATTGAATCATCAGCTGAAGGAGCCCCACCTGGAGGGAGCCCCACCTGAAGGGAGCCCCACCTGAAGGGAGCCCCACCTGAAGGGAGCCCACCTGAAGGGAGCCTCACCTCACCTCACTCGACTCGTCCGGCTGCAGTTGACGTCATCACGCTGCCAGTGCAGGAAGCAAAGAGATGGTCCTCTACATCCTCCACAGGTGTGTGTGCAGTCCTCCACATGTATGGTGCACGTATGGAGTGAGTCAGATGTTAGTTACTCTTTTGACTTATTCACCACATTGAATAAGGAGTGAAAACTACAACACACAACAACATTTAGTTTAGTCATTACCAAAGTTCTAAATTCAAACAATAAACTAATACAAGACAAAAGAAAGCTTAGTTGTTAACTTCAGTAAAGTGAAGGAGCTTACATTTCTGTTGCTGCCTGCTCTGTGCAGCCATGAAGATTAAAGAAGGAACCCTCCACTTCCTGCTTCCTTTATAGGCAGGGCTTGATCAGTCACTTCCTGTAGCAGTCTCTGACAGGCCAACAGGGGTGCCATTGCACCATGCGTAGCTCATTAATAGACTCCTTAGTTGTTGTTTTTTTTTACGATTAATGAATGTATGTGGGTTCTTTTCAACATAGGAATATGATGTTTTTTTCTTTCTTTCTGTATTCTAGTGTTTGAATAAATGGGAAACTTTCAATGACAGGCTTGTAAAACAATAAGTCAGTTCAATCAATCTTTATTTTGTAGAGCGCCAACTCAATACAAATGTTATCTCAAGACACTTTACAAACAGCAGGTAAGAGAGAGTCTTGTCTGGGTTAAAGGCAGGGTTGATCATTTCAACCACAATCTTAAAAAGTGGATCTGGAGAAAATCACCAACCCTGCCTTTAAGTAGTTTTTAGTCCTTACAGAAAAACTGCAGTAAGTACAGATTCTATTTGTGCTTGAAAACATCCAACATTGAACTGAAACCATGAGGTTTTTAAAATGTTAAACACTTTATTTAAATGTTAACAGAGTGTAGATGATGATGCTGTTCCTGTATCTGTGCTCTGATCTCTGTTCAGTCTATATGTGATGATATATGTGCCATCATAAACACAAGACACCAAAAGAAGCAGCAGGGGGGTTGATGTCTGTTCCTCGGGTGATGTTGTCTCTCTCTCTCTCTTCTGTTGACCAGGGGGGAGACGGTCCTTCACCGAGCTGCGTCCCTGTGTCAAAGAACTATCTGTCATTATCTGGTTGAAGCAGGAGCCTCGCTCATGAAGACAGACCTACAGGTACACTTCAGACGCTAACCTGAAAGGTTATTATTTATTATTTCCCAGCTAAAAGGTAAATAAAACAACAGCTAAAAGGGAAATAAAACTAAACAACAGTTAAAAGGTAAATAAAACAACAGCTAAAAGGGAAATAAAACTAAACAACAGCTAAAAGGTAAATAAAACAACAGCTAAAAGGTAAATAAAACAACAGGTAAACTAAGACAACAAGCTCTTCATCCAGCCTTCTGTGTTTAATTTACTCAAAGAAACAGCAGTCTAATTCATTTATTATTTAAGTGCAGTAACCAACAACTAACCACCAGAGGGCGCCCTCTCCATATAAAGTGATTTATAAACGATAAAATACATTTATTTTCAACCTATAACTTTAATTAGAGTCTTACATCATTGTTTGATCAATTATTTATGTTAAAGCTGCATTTTTACCTTAAACCTTTTCTTCTTAGGTTTAATTTTACTTTTCAAACTTACTTTTTAATCAATTTAATTCGTTTATTGTCGTTTGGTTTTCTTAATGAAAATACCACAAACCTTTTTATTGATTTAATTGAAATGATTAATTTGTTTGAATGCAAATACGAGGAGGACATCAGCAACCTGTACAAACAGCTGGATGACAAGAATAGACTAAAGTCAAAGACAAGACACAACATTAGAAGCACAGTTTGGAGACAACCTGCTTAAAATACTTTCATTTTCTCAATTATTATTACTTAATGTCATTTTCTTATTTAAACATGGATTTCATAAGGATGATCATTTTTGCATGAACTCACTCTGACCCCACGTCCCTGCCAGGAGGAGCTGTGCCGGCTGCAAACGGAGAACCAGCTGAAGGAGGAGGTGAAGGAGGTGCTGCAGGTGCTGGAGGAGCTCGCCGTCAACTACGACCAGAAGAGCCAAGAGGTGGAGGAGAGAGAGAGACATGATGGAGACGAGGACATCAAGGTGAGGACACAAACACACTTTGTATTGTCTCTAATCTGTTTATACATCTCCACAAAACTCTGGAGGAGCAGCTGGAGAACCACCACAAGCAGCTCAGCCGCCTCAGAGACCAGATCCAAGACAAGCAGAGGATGATGGACGAGCTCCTTTTTGTTTCAACCAGGGCCTGTTACTGGAGCAGGAGAGACTCATGACAGAAGCTCATGTATGTACCAGCTAACACATCACACCACATTTTCTGTCCAGACTGCTGAATGATCAGAGGGAAAACCAAACCCTGGGGTATTCCAAACTAACGTGCAATGGCACATAAAATACATAACCAACATAACAGCATAACAACAACAAGGCCCCCGGATCCAAGTGTCATGTCATTTAAAAACCCAACAGTCTGCAGAAGTCTGAACTCTGCATGCAGAGGGTGCTGCACGTAGTGTTGTAGTCATGACCACACTAAGACCAAGACCACAAATATCTTTGTGTGCAGGGGACGTTTTACTCACTTGGACCGTAACACCGGGAAGGTGTGGTCGTAACTAAATCAAACTATAAATGGAGTTAAGTTATTTCTTGTTTTTTCCTTCTAGTCCGAGACCTTCAAGGAGTCTCAGGAGCACATTCAAGGAGTCTCAGGAGCACATGAGGGTGTTCCAAGACTTCTGATTGGCCTTATTTTAAAAAATAACTGTATTTCTCCGCCTGTTTTTGTTAACGATGCTGAGGTTCCTACAAACATCCATTCAACACAACACACGTAATCAAGCATTTGTTTGAATGATCACCTGTCTGTTTCTCTCGTCGGTTTTCTTATATCTGTAGCTCTGGATTTATCAACAGGAAGTGCTCTGGAGTGCAACAGGAAGTGCTCTGGACTTAGCAACAGGAAGTTATAAAGGAAACAGGAAGTGCAGGGTTCTTTCTTAATCTTCAAGGCTGCCCAAGCAGGCAGCAACAGCAGTGTAAGTTCCTTTACTGAAGTTAAGGTTTAGCATCAGCATGTAGCTTAGCATTAGCCTTGTTATTTATTGCATCTGATGTCGCATGTGCTTAGCATTAGCGCCTTGTTATGCCTTGCATCTGATGTAGCACACCATGTGTTTAGCATTAACATGTGCTTAGCATTAGCATGTAGCTTAGCATTAGCCTTGTTATGCATTGCATCTGATGTAGAATCCTCTGCATCTTCAGTGTCACAGTAACTTTGTCTGTTTGGTGATGTTGGATTAGCAGAGTTTAATAATACACACATACACACACACACATATATATACACACACACACATATATATACACACATACACACACCATATATACACACAGTGGTAACACATGTTTTTATTCTTAACACAAGGCTTTAAACAGAAAGAAGACGATTGAACAGCTTGAACAAATTATTTTATTTAATTATAAATAAATATTATCATTTTAATATTAATCATTTAATATATATTTTAAAAATTATAAATAATTTATATTTATTTAACAGTTTTATTTTACTGAATTCCCCAATTTAAATGCAAATCAAACATTTTTAACATTCTCTCTCTCTCTACAGATAGATGATCCCACACTGTGCACCTCATTTCTACATACTCACCTGTGCATGCTTTGCTATGACGATTGTCTTTGTTGGTCCAAACTAAATCGAAACATTGTCTTTCAATTGCAGGAGCTGCACCTGAAGGGAGCAAAGAGATGGTCTGCCACATATTCACCACATTGAATAAGGACTGAAAACTACAAGACACAACAATAAACTAATACAAGTTTGGTCCAAACTAAATCGAAACATTGTCTTTCAATTGCAGGAGCTGCACCTGAAGGGAGCAAAGAGATGGTCTGCCACATATTCACCACATTGAATAAGGACTGAAAACTACAAGACACAACAATAAACTAATACAAGTTGTTGCTAATGCTAACCTACATGCTAATGCTAACCTTAACTTCAGTAAAGGAACTTACACTGCTGTTGCTGCCTGCTGTGGGCAGCCTTGAAGATCAAAGAAGAACCCTGCACTTCCTGTTTCCTTTATAACTTCCTGTTCCCTCATGACCTACAGAGAGGAGAGTTTGTTCTTGGTCTAACATATCATATAAAAACTGTCTCCACATATTTTACTTTATTACTATTTACTTTATTTTACATATTAACATTGTCCATTTACTATTCTGTTTTTGCACATTTACATTTAATCTTTCTATTTAAGTCTAGTAATGCTAAGTTACATTTACATTTAATCTTTCTATTTAAGTCTAGTAATGCTAAGTTAAGTCCTGGTTGTATATATTCTCATTCTTAGTTTTGATATTTTTACTACTTATTTACTTTGTATTTAATATTATATTGTTTTAGATTTGTTATTGTGTTTTTTACTCATATTGTGTGTTAGATAACCTGCTGCTGTAACGCCACAATTTCCCAGTTTGGGATCAATAAAGTCATTCTATTCTATTCTATTCTATTCTTAAGTTTCATCCAACACTTTTAAATAAAAGGCTCTGACATGTTAACAAAACTTCAGACACACTTCATTTTCTTCTCCATAACCCCCTACTTGTGTTACTCTCCAAACACCAGGGGGAACTTTGCCCCCCCCCCAGTGGTTCCCAATGATTAAAGAACCCTCAAACCTAATTTGTGAAATGTCCACATAAATTCTTTTTTGCCCCCCTAGCAGTTCCAGACCCCAATGCCGTGGAAGCTGGATTTGAACCAGCACGTACCTGTTGCAGATGCAAGGACGATCCCACTCGGCCACGCCCTTCACACTTGGAGATGTGTTCCGGGCGTATTATCATGGTCATTATGGATTTTGACTTTAAAATTTGCCTGATAAGATTCAAACCCTCCATCACCTGACACAGTGGGATTCGAACCCAGGCTGCCCACCTACAGAGCTTGGAAACCACAATCTTATCCACTACACTACACTACTGATCCCTTCACACTATGATATGAGCTCCGGGCGTATTTATCTTCATCATTTCAGATGTTGGACTTTAAAATCCACTGAGTCCTGATAAGATTTGAACCCACAACCTCCAGAGTCCAAGTCCTCCTTCTATCTGCTGAGTCACAGAGACAGATACTTGATTATGTTTCTCAGATCTCTTCAGTCTTTCCTTTGGACCAACACCTTTAAGAGAATGTGTGGGGGGGTGTGTGTGT